GGTGCGGCTCATTGCGGGCGTCGCTCAGCCGCCGCCGCCGCCCGCCGTGGTCCTTGCCATCCTGGCCCGCAATGCCGAGCACTCGCTGCCCCACTACCTGGGCGCACTGGAGCGGCTGGACTACCCCCGGGCCCGACTGGCCCTCTGGTGAGAGAGACCCTGGCATTGGTACCCACTGGGCATCTGCCCCCCAGCCCCACCGACAGCCCCTGCCCCAGATGGCCTCAACTGCTCCCTACCCTCAGACAGGCTCCTCCCCTCCCAGACGGGCCCTCCACAGCCCCAAGCCCCCCAGGCAGGACCCTGTACCCCCTGGCCCTGCAGACTGACCTCTGAGTACTTACGTTGACCCTAGGACACCCACCCTGTCCTCTGCTCCTCCTCTTGGGACCTCCTCTGGGTGTAAGTTGGGCCCAGCTTACACCTCAACCCCATGGGGCCTGTGGTTGGCTTGACTTGGAGTGCAGCAGACAGGAACAGCTGGTGCCCCGGGGCCAAGGTGGCCGAGATCAGCAGGACTGGAAGCCCTTGGGGAGCAGTGGGGATGCTGTCAGCCCTGCAGGGGAGTCAGACTCGCTCTTCCTCCATCTGGGCTGCTTCCAGCCTCTCTCTGTAGAGGAGTGGTCCTGCCAGCTCATGGCTGCACACCGCCCCCCCCTCCAGGGTCCCTCCTCCCAGGCGTCCTCTACAAGGCACTGGACTCAGAGGCCACAGTCTGTGGAAGCCAGAACAGGGAGGAGTCCCAAGCTGAGGTTGGGGATAAACTGAGAGAAATGACAAACTACCCCTCACAACACACCAAACTTGGGCTAGGGGCGGAGCCGTGGCCTGGGGAGGCCGCCCACAATTACCACATTTTGGGAGTTCGTTAGTTCCCACCCCTGCAGGACTTGACACGTAGTTAGTCTTCACTCCTGGGCAGTTGGCTTAAAGGGGCAGTGCCATGGAAAGCCTGCGCTCCCGTCTAAGCCCCCCACCCCAACTCGGCCATGGGGGCCTCTCTCACAGGACGGGAGAGGGTCCATCAGCACTTCCCAGGGACACTCAGAGTGTTGGGGCCTTATTACAACCTTTGGGCTGAGAGAAGCAGCAGCTTTTCTGTCCAGTCCTTACTCAGAGAGGGGAAGGGGCTGACCTGTGGTCGCACAGCAAGGAAGGCAGGTAACCAGGGACTGTGTGTGTGCTTCTAAGATGAGGTACTTTTCACTTTTCCAAATGCTCTCGCGTTTTGTTATCTCAGCCCGGTGGGCTGCTTCCAGCCTCAGAGGACATCTCATAGTTACAGAGGGAGAAAGTGAAGCCCAGAGAGGTTCGGAACTTGCCAGGGGTCTCACAGTGGGTCACAGACCAGTGATAGGGACCTGGCTGCCTGCCACCTACTGCCATTGCTCCCAGGAGAGGCCAGCCTCCAAGTGTTGGTGCTCCAGGGGTCAAGGCTGCCTCAGGGACCTTTGGGGGCTGTGCCCCTCACTCTTCTTCCTCCTGTGTCCCCAGGTGTGCCACGGACCACAACGTGGACAACACCACAGAGATGCTACAGGAGTGGCTGGCCGCTGTGGGCAATGACTATGCCGCCGTGGTCTGGAGGCCCGAGGGGGAGCCCAGGTGGCTACCTGAGGGGAAAGGCTCTGGGAGGAGGGGCAGCAGCTGCAGCTCACAGGGAAAGGGGCAGCGTAAGCCACAGCCTGCAGGCCAGGGCTCTGTCCAGTCCCTGCAGAGAGGGAGAGGCACCTACCCCATGGGAATATCTCATCCCTTTACCCCCTCAGGTCCTACCCAGACGAAGAGAGTCCCAAGCACTGGACCAAAGAAAGGTACCAGTTTCTGATGGAGTTGAAGCAGGAAGCCCTGACCTTTGCCAGGGGCTGGGGAGCTGACTACATCCTGGTAAGAAAGCCTGGCCTGCGGTTGGGTTTCCCATTGGCGCTGGTATCTGTCGCTGACAGAAAATTCAATGTGACTTCACCTCCTGTAGGCTGGATTCTTCCACTAGCAACCTGGGTCAGAAACCAGACCAGATATTGAGCTGGGATCCCTATGCTTAGTACCTAGTATCAGACTGGATACTAAGCCTGGATCTCTGAGGTAGATCCCAGGGTATGTGCTGAGCCTAGTTCCCTGAGCTAGAGCTCGGAGTAGGTCTTTGCATCTGCTTTCTAAGTCAGATCTCAGGTAAAGTTCTTAAGTCAACAATTTAGGTCTAAATCTGTGGACCTGGTCCCTGAGCCAGTGCCTCAGGCCGGATCCTTGGTCCAAAAACAGATCTCCTGGTTTGTAGGCTAGACCTCTCTAAGGGCCCCTCACTGGATCCTAGGAGCCACTCTGGGTCTCTGGCAATCTGGAGGGATCCCTCAGTGATCCCTGGGGGACTGCAACCCAGGCAAGGCTGGGGCCCGTGACATCCCCCTGCCCAAAGTTTGCAGATACAGACAACATTCTGACCAACAACCAGACGCTGCGCCTTCTGATAGAGCAGGGGCTGCCCGTGGTCGCCCCAATGCTGGACTCTCAGACCTACTACTCCAATTTCTGGTGTGGGATCACTCCCCAGGTGAGGCCGGGGGCGGGGGCCTCAGGGGGGCTCGAGGTCCTGGGAGAAGGGGCATGAAGAGCAGAGAGCCCGAAGGCCTCGGGGTCTGTGGGCCATGGCAGAGAGCAGTGTTCTGGGGGGCGAGGGGCTCCTCTCACAGCCCAGAGCACCCCCTTCCCCAGGGCTACTACCGCCGCACAGCCGAGTACTTCCCCACCAAGAACCGCCAGCGCCGGGGCTGCTTCCGGGTCCCCATGGTCCACTCCACCTTCCTGGTTTCCCTACGGGCAGAGGGGGCAGCCCAGCTCGCCTTCTACCCCCCTCACCCCAACTACACCTGGCCCTTCGACGACATCATCGTCTTCGCCTACTCCTGTCAGGCTGCTGGTGAGGACGGCTCTCCTTGAGCGTTCCTTGGAAGACTCTAGGCCTTTGCACGTGCTGTTCCCTTAGCCTCGCATGCCCTTCCCCGCTCCACAGTTCATCTCCTTAGCTCCTGTTTGTCCTTTGGGTCACAGCCTTTCTTGAGACCGCTGCTCCAGTAGATCAGATCTTTCTTCTGGTGGTCCCCATCATGGCACTATCACGTATTCCTTCATTAGGCAAATATTTATGGAGCACCTGTCATGTGCCAAGTACTGGGGAGAAAGTGATGAGTAAAATCAAGCAGTCCTTTCCCTCCTGGAGCCTCCCTTCCCGTCAGAGTATGTCAGGCGATGGGACCAGCAGGTGCAGAGGCCCGTGGTGGCAGGGGACACAAAAAGGAGGGTGGCTGAACATAGTAAGGGTGTGGGGCTCGGTGCCCGCCGAGGCAGGTGTGACAGGTGAGGCCGGTGCCAGCCGGTGTTGACCTGACCAGCAAGTGTCTGGGCTTGAGCCTGAGAGCAGTGGGCAGTCAGAGGATCATGTGGTGGGATCTGAACCCTGCAGAGATCACTCCGGTGTTGGGAGTTATTTTAAGATGTAAGTTACTAGAAAGCGTTTGGGTTTGGATGGGATGAATCCGGTTCTGCAGAAGAGTCGAAGACAACATCAAAACAGAGACACGAATGTTGGAGTGAGGTTCTCGAGAAGGCTCCAGAGGGTAGAATTTGGGGTGTGGATTGAGAGGCGGCGGGGACATGAAGACTGTCTGGTGCATGGAGGACTCTGCTGGTGGTCGGAGTGAACGAGAAGTGACGATCCAGAGGTGCTGCACCTGAGCAAGCAGCGTGTGAGGAGTGGCCAGAGAGGGGAGCATTGTCATCAGCTTTTCTGGGCACCGGCATTGGCGACATCTGCAATGCAGACATGCAAGAAGGAAAAAAAAAATCAGGTGTAAAAAGCGAGTGAAGGTGAAGCAAACACATGGAGAGAAAATGAGAAGGAGCGAGAGTCTTTTTTTATTGCTGCCGCCACTTCGAGCGTCAGCCGCTGTTAATCGGTCAGCGGTTTGAAGGAGTTTAGCGAACGGTGGTTTTGTCTCCATCTTTTATGCTTCCAGCACCCAGCTATTGAGCTCATGGTCTATAGAAAATAAAGGATAAATAAAGAATTCTAGTAAAGGTGACGCATCTTGAAGAAATAAAAGGCCGCCGGTTGCCAGTGGGGACAGCATGGAGGGGACAGGAGGGGGTGCGGAGTTAAATGCGGGGATCTGGGTAAATGGTGACGGTGCTAGGTCCTGGCTGGCTCTGGGCAGACATGGGAGAGATGTAGGGGGTGTGGCAATGGCCTCCCGTGGCTGTAGTCACCCTGGAGATGGCCTGCTCCTGCCTCAACCTGACCCCCCGAAGGCAGGGGCTCTGTCTTGCTCGCCACCATCGCCCCGGCACCCAGCAGGTGCTCTAGGGTCACTGGCAGGACTGGGCGGGCCCGGGACCTCTCAGCTGGGTTCTGAGAGCCCTGCGCCCCCACTCCGACACTCACGCGGCCTCTCTCCGCAGGGGTGTCAGTCCACGTGTGCAACGAGCACCGTTACGGGTACATGAACGTGCCCGTGAAATCCTACCAGGACCTGCAGGACGAGAGGGTCAACTTCGTCCACCTGATCTTGGAGGCGCTAGGTGAGGGCTGAGAGCCTGGCGCCCAGTGCGGCTCTCGCTCCCTGCCTCCCCATGCACCCCTTCTCCTAGGCCCCAGACATGAGTGCGCAGCGGGTTCAGGGGCCCAGCCTCGCCCCTAACTCATTCCCTGGCTCTGGGCAAGTCTCTTTCTCTACTGGACCTCAGTCTCCCCATCTGTCCAGGGGAGGCAGATGGATTCTGTGATGTCCGAAGGCCCTTCCCGCTGGGCCTTCTGCCAAGGGGACAGGAATGGGGCAGCTAGGATGCCAGGGTCACTGTCGACAGGAGCCTTAGGGACTCACAGTTGGGGGTGCTTTCCTCCACAGTGGATGGGCCCCCCATGTGGGCCTCGGCTCATGTGTCCCGGCCCCCAAAGAGTCCCACCAAGATGGGGTTTGATGAGGTGAGTGCCCCCAGCCTGCAGGTCTGGGGTCGGAGGCGGGAGGGCCTCCCCTCCCTGGCACCCGCTCCGCGCACCCACCTCCCCTGCCTCCTCCAGGTCTTCGTCATCAGCCTGGCCCGCCGGCCAGATCGCCGTGAGCGCATGCTGAGCTCGCTCTGGGAAATGGAGGTGTCTGGGCGGGTGCTGGATGCCGTGGACGGCCGGTGAGCTCCCTGGGGCGCAGCGCGGCCCATCGGTGCTCCTGAGACGGGGGGAAAGTTGAATGAGTTTCTTGTTCCAGGAGGTATTCAAGCAGGGCCTGAGTAATTCTGTCTCAGGGGGTCCCCGGGGAAAGCAGAGCCAGGATGGGATGTGCCACCTCAGTCCCCGGGGGGAGGGGGATTCAGCGGTTAAAGGCCCAAAGTCTGGGGCTCCTTGGCTGGGGTCCCAGCTCTGCCACTTACCAGCTCTGTGACCTCGACAAGTCACCCCTATATTTCAGCCCTGTGTGTAAATGGCCAATCAGGGTACCTTCCTCTCAGGGGTTTGTAAGGGTTTGAGGAAGATTTAGCCAGGGCCTGATACAGTAAGTATTCCAGAGGTCAGGTGTCTTCGTGATCATTATCGGGGTTCTTCTTCTCCATCAGGTCCCTGATGAATGGGGTGGGAGCAGACCAGTCACACTCCCCGGGGGAGCCTGGGGTTACGAGGCCCCACGTACCCGCTGCTATTTGCCCCGTCTGGCTGCACCCTTTGGTTGGGCCTCTGCCATGTTCCCCACATTCATCGTGGGGTGCACCCCCCTCAGGCTTCCTTCTGCCTCCCCATGCTGCCACCCCCTCCCCCGAGGGTCACCCCTGCCCGAGGTGGCTGTGGTTCCCCTCAATCCAGCCACCGATGGCTTCAGACCACACGACGCAGTAACAAGACTGAAACCTCCTTCGAACCAGACTCTAGCGTGACTGCCACCAGCACACACCGGCCAGGCTCCCCCGGACGTGTCCCCAGAGGGCACCTTTCACCCCGTCACACCCGTCTCCCTCAGGACACTCAACAGCAGTATCATGCGGAGCCTCGGCGTGGACCTGCTCCCTGGCTACCAGGACCCCTACTCCGGCCGCACGCTGACCAAGGGCGAGGTGGGCTGCTTCCTGAGCCACTACTCCATCTGGGAGGAGGTGAGGACCCCGCTCCCTCAGCCCACGCCCTCCGGGAGAGCAGGGGCCACCTATTCACTGCCTTGTGCCCAGCCCTCAAGTGACCGATGGGTGACTGAGTGCATTAACAAAGCCCCGGCCAGCAGCTTTAAACCACTTATGTGTTCAGCCCTATACCTTATTCATTCTGCAGTTTCTAGTGAGCACCTACTGTGTGCTAGGACATATCCGGCTCAGAGGTGAACAAAAATACAGCCCTGCCCTCCTGGGGCCCAGGGACCTGAGGGGAAACAGAAACCAAGAAAGAACCGAGCTTGCCCCAGAGGGGAGGCGTACAGGCTGTTCTAGAGTGTGGACTGGCCTGGTGTGGGGTCAGGGTGGGCCTTGCCATTGACTGGTGGGGAGAAGAGCCTTCTTGGCAGAGGAAAACTGGAAGCAGAGGCCCTGAGGCAGGAGGGCGTTGGGTGTGTGAGCGGCCCGCTCACCTCTGTGAGAAGCTTCAGCCCAGGGCTGGAGTGTGAGGGCCTCAGAAAGGCTACTGCTTGGACACCACGGGAAGGACCAAGGGATTGACCTCCAGGGGCCACTGAGAGGCCACTTGCTGGGTCCTGGCCCCCGAGGGATGCCTCCTCTAGGACGTGATGTGCACTCACTCCTTGTTCTTATTTTCTGCTCCGGCCAAAATAGACGCGTGTGAGCTTATATTTCTGTTTATTTTCTGCTGTCTCTGAACAGATTGAAGGATGAGGTACATTTACTGAGTTAATTTCATGTTCTTTTCACGTTTCCAAAAGGTCCAGAAAGTTCTTTTTGTTAGGGATGTTGGGGCTAGGGTCTCCCCCACCCCCACCCAGCTCAGCTTCCTTTAGGAAAGCTCAGGAGGCCGAGATGGGGGTGCGGGCCCCGGAGTCCAGCCCGTGCCGGTTCAGATCCCGGCTCCGCCACTTCCTGGCTGTGTGTCCTTGGACAGGTGCTTGCACCTCCCTGTGTCTCTGTCTCCTTGCTGCTGTACAGGGCCATCGTGCGCGCTGCCTCCTGAGGGTCCCTAGAGATAGGTAGTGGCGCCCTGGCCCCTGGGATGTAGTAGCACTTGCGAATGCAGCGCAGGTTCCGATCACCACCATGAGTCTACTTGGGGAGCTCGGCGGGGGCCTGGAGGGCCACGAATGCCAGGGCGAGGCATTGGGACTTCAGTCCCCAGGTGGTGGGAGCCCCCGCGGGCTCCAGAGCAGCTGAGCGATGTGGCCAGGCTGAGCATCTGGCAGATAAGTGAGGCCAGGGAGAGTGTCATTGTTGGCCGGGTGGAAGGGGACAGCTCAAATCTACAGAGTCGCCCCACCCCACTGCCTACCACAGGTGGTTGCCAGGGGCCTGGCCCAGGTCGTGGTGTTCGAGGATGACGTCCGCTTTGAGAGCAACTTCCAGGGGCGGCTGCGGCAGCTGATGGCGGAGGTGGAGGCAGAGAGACTTCCGTGGGACCTGATGTAGGCAGCCAGCGCCCAAGGGGCAGGGGAGAGGGGACGCACCTCGGGGGTCTGCCCCCTCCTGCTTGGAGCCTTCCTTCCCCCAGCCTGGGCCTGAAGGATGGGGTTGAGGGAGGGGTCCTGTGACACGCCAGGACCTCTAGTGATTCCTGAACTCTCGATGTCACGAGCAGCTACCTTGGCCGGAAGCAGGTGAACCCTGAGGAGGAGGAGGCCGTGGAGGGGCTGCCGCACCTGGTGGTGGCCGGGTACTCCTACTGGACACTAGCATACGTCCTGAGCCTGGCGGGCGCCCGCAAGCTGCTGGCCTCCCAGCCCCTGCGCCGGATGCTGCCCGTGGACGAGTTCCTGCCCATCATGTTTGACCAGCACCCCAAGTGAGTCACAGGTTGGGGCGGGGCAGGCTCGCCCTGTCCCGGCAGCCCACCTCGGCAAGTAGTGAGTCCCCTGCTGGGCAGGTGGGGAGACTGAGGCTGACAAAGCTGAGTCACTTCTTCCAGGTCACCCAGCCCCTGGCGTCAGACCAACCTAGGTGTGAATTCTCTGCAGCCCGTGAGATTTTAGATGAGCGACTTTCCTGTTCCCCATCAGTTTCCTCATCTGGAAAATGGGGAGAAGGGAAACCCTGCCTCTCGTGTTTGTCGTGAGGTCTCGCTAGGGAGGGCAGTGAGGTGCTGCGGGCAGGCGAGGTGCCAGGCTCTGGGCTGGCATGAGGTCTGGGTGGTGGGGTTTGCCTCAGCCCCCTGAGCTGTCCTCCTACCTCACAGCGAGCAGTACAAGGCACATTTCTGGCCGAGGGACCTACGGGCCTTCTCGGCCCGGCCCCTGCTTGCTGCCCCCACCCACTACGCGGGGGACGCAGAATGGCTCAGCGATACGGAGACGTCCTCACTCTGGGACGACGACAGCGGCCGCCTCATCAGCTGGAGCGGCTCTCACAAGACCCTGCGTGGCCCCCGCCTGGACCTGGCTGGCAGCAGTGGGCACAGCCTCCATCCCCACCCCAGGGACGAGCTCTAGGTGAGTGCGGGGCTGGGAAGAGGCCCCCAGCCTTGTGGTCATCAGTTTTCTCTCCTCTGTGGCCAATTCTGCTTCTGGGTCCTTTTTCCCCTTCTCGGGCTGTTCCCCTCTCTCTCTCTCTCTCTATCTCTCTCTCTCGGGCTGTCTCTCTCTCTCTCTCTCTCGCGCGGTTTCTCTCTCTCTCTCTCGCTCTCGCTCTCGCCCTCGCTCTCTCTCTCTCTCGGGCTGTCTCTCTCTCTCTCTCTCTCGCGCGGTTTCTCTCTCTCTCTCTCGCTCTCGCTCTCGCCCTCGCTCTCTCTCTCTCTCGGGCTGTCTCTCTCTCTCTCTCTCTCGCGCGGTTTCTCTCTCTCTCTCTCGCTCTCGCTCTCGCCCTCGCTCTCTCTCTCTCTCGGGCTGTCTCTCTCTCTCTCTCTCTCGCGCGGTTTCTCTCTCTCTCTCTCGCTCTCGCTCTCGCCCTCGCTCTCTCTCTCTCTCGGGCTGTCTCTCTCTCTCTCTCTCTCGCGCGGTTTCTCTCTCTCTCTCTCGCTCTCGCTCTCGCCCTCGCTCTCTCTCTCTCTCGGGCTGTCTCTCTCTCTCTCTCTCTGCATTTCTCCACCTGTAGCTCTCTCTCTCTCTGCTTCTCTTTGTTTCTCTGTATCTGTTGGTGTCTCTCTCTGCCTCTGTCCACCTGTCTCTCTGTCACTGACTCCTCTGTGTGTGTTTCTGTCTCTGCCTCTTGCTGTCCGACTCCAGCTCCTTCTGTTTTCCTCCTCTGGCCTCTGCTGTCCCACCAGGTCCAGGCGGTGACTCCAGAGGAGCGCCCAGGAACAGGCACAGATGTCCAGGGAGCAGAGGTGGAGATTGCTGGCAGGGACGGCCACCAGGAACCACAGACCCAGTAGAGACCTGGCTGCCACCTTAGGCATGGTCACTCTCCCTCTGGCCCTGGGAGAAACCACTCACAAATGGGTGCCCTTCCCTGAGGTCATGTAGCAAAAGGGCAGGGCCTGAAGGCCCTCTTACCCTGCCGGCCTGACCCACGGCCTGGGGTGGGAAGGAGGGAGGCTGCCCGGCCTTCAGTTTCCAGCTGGGCAGACAGGAGCCTTACCCTCCCTGAGGACCCAGCTGCTGGTGCCCCTCCACTCTCTTCTACCTCCACCTTAGTCCCCACCCCCAACTGGAAGCCTGGGTCTCACCTGCCAGGGCCCACCCTCTCCCCTGGCCAGTGGGAAATGCAAGGAGGTGGGAGGAAGAGCCTGCACACAGTAGGCCCTCAATAAAAGCCGGCTGGCGTTTGCACTTTATATTTTTTAACTCATGGCTGAGCCTCTTTGCTTGTCACTAGGTCTGGGATCTGTGGATGAGCAGTTGGAGAGAGAGGGGAGGGCGGCCTGGAGGAGGAGTCAGCCCCACCTGGCATTATCTCCTTAGTCTATTGGTTGGTAAAGCGGTGAGAAGAGAATGCTCACCCATTGGTCCTGTCATGGTCATCGTCAACCTCGCCTTGCTGGTCAGGGTGGGCCCAGGCCAGACCCAGGGCTGCTGATGCCTTCCGCCTTTGGATCTTCCCTTGTGCAGCTGGAACCCCTCCGCTGGGGGCGGCTGAGGGACATCCCGGGCTCCCCTCCAGCCTGAACCAGTGTGGCCGCCAGAGGGCGCTAGGTGGCAGAGCCTGGACCTTGTGGGCCAGAGCGCCCTCTGCTGGTTAGGGGCCGAAGACGGGGAAGGGAACGCAGGATGTTTGGACTCTGCGTGAGGTGAGGGTTACCAGCAGCAGCTCCGCGTTCTGGTTTTCTTTCTGCCCTTCTGCTTGGGAATTGCCGGCCCTCCTCCCGCGCCGTCCACCACGCCCTCTCCCGTCGTCAGGCTTCTGGGCCTAGCAGCTGTCTCCAGTGCCTGCACTCAAGAGCTGGAGGCTGTGGGAAGGTAGCCCCTTGCCTTGGCCTGGCTGCCTGGGCCTCCCCCAGCTCAGGACTGTGATACTGGCAGCTTCCGGTTTCCTTCTTGAGAGGAGCCCCTCTCCCATGGCGGCCGCTTGACTTGGTCGTGTAAGCACCTGGGTCTTGGCAGAGTCGGGCAGGCACCCCCTTGAGGGCATGAAGTCCACTTGGTGTGGCCTTGGTTCTGGGACCTGGTACGGCTGTGAGAAGGGCTTTGGGCCAGAGCTGTGGGATTGGTGCTTAGTTTGTCCCAAGGGTAAAAACCATTGATTCTGGATGGCTCTGACCTTGAGCAAGTCACTTCTCTTTAGGCTTAAGGCGCCCCTTTCATTCTTTAAAATGAACATTTGTTGAGCACCTCCTGTGGGCCGGGTTTAGGCACTAGGAATACAGCAGTAAATAAAACACACACACACAAAAAGTCCCTGACCTCATGGAGCTGACATTCTAGTGAGGGCGACAGACAGAAACAATTAAATACTGGAGGGTTCGTGCCACAGAGAAAAATGAGAGAGAAGATACCAAGTACGATCTGCAAAATTAACCTCTGAATAAAGACTTGAAGGAGCTAAGGGGACAAGCTTTGGGGATATCTGAAGAAACACCATTACAGGCCGAGGGAGCAGCATGTGCAAAGGTCCTGAGGCAAGAGCAGGACTGGCAGGTTCAAATGACAGCAGGGAGGCCAGTGTGGCTGGAGCAGAGTGAGCAAAGAGGAGCCAAGGTCTGGAGATGGCAGAGCCAAGGTCAGGGCCAGAGCAGAAAAGATCTTGCAGGCTATTTTAGGCTTTACTCTGAGATAAGGAGCCCCTGAAGAGTTTGAGGCAGAAATGACTTATATTTTAACAGTATCACCCTGGCTACTGTACTAGAATGAACTGTAGGGGGGTCCAGGGTGGAAATAGGGAGACCGGTTAGGAACACATGGTAATAACAGGTGAGACAAAATGGTGCCTCACACCAGGGTGGTGGCAGTGGGGGTGGTGAGAAAGTAAAGCCCGACGGAAGAGGTGGCTTTGCAGAGGCTGAAGCCTCTGCTCCTGGAGCCACCCTGCCCTGCCTCATGGGGTCAACCCCACTGAGTTCTTCATTCTTCGACATTGCTGGCGAACCCTTGGGCCTCATCTTCAAGCTATTTGCAGACCAAGTGCCGAAGGGAGCAGAAAACTTCCATGCTCTGAGCACAGGGAAGAAAGGATTTGGTTATCAAGGTTCTTGTTTTCACAGAATTATTCTGGGATTTATGTGCCAGGGTGGTGACTTCACACACCGTACGGGCACTGGCGGCAAATCCATCCATGGGGAGAAATGTGATGATGAGAATTTCATCCTGAAGCACGTGGGTCTTGGCATCTTGTTCATGGCGAACACTGGACCAACACAAACAGTTCCTGGCTTTGCACGGGCATGGCCAAGACCGAACGCCTAGATCGCATGCGTGTGGCTTTGGGCAAGGCGAAAAAGGGCACGCCAACCGTGGAAGCCGTGGGACGCTTTGGGTCCAGCAATGACGAGACCAGCGAGAAGGGCACCACTTCTGTCTGCGGACGATGCCAGCATTGACCTGTGTTTTATCTTAACCACCAGGTCGTCATCCCTTCCACAGCTCGGCAGAGCACCCCTCACTCACCCCCACCTGCTCACGACAGCTGATGATGTTTGTGTTCTCGCTGTATTTCTTTGGGTTCTGTGTTTTCCTTTTCTCCCTCCAAGTCTAGCTCAATTGAAGAGTTAAGTTTATAATCATGAAATGAAAACTAAACAACTAAAAAAAAAAAAAAAAGAGGAAGAGAAGAAGTTGAGGATGACGCCAAAGTTTTTAGCCCAAATTACCAAAAGAATGGAACTACCATGAACTGTAATGAGATTGCATGGGCCTGGTGCGGGGCAGGGCAGGTCAGTTTTTGACGGGCTGAATTTGAGCTCGGGATACAGATGTCAGGTTGGGGTCGGATGTATGACCCTGGGATTCAGGGTTCAAGTCTGGGCTGGAGGTAGAAGCTTGGAATCCTGTCCTGAGCCAGAAGCCTTGGCCCCCAACACCACACACTCCATCACTGGGGACCTGGGGAGCTTGTTAAAATGCAGATTCCTGCCCTCTCCTGTCTCCCTGCTGTGAGGTTTTTGAACCAAATCACCACCCCAGGTCATTCCAAGGAGGCCACAGGTTTGGGAACTACTGCGAAAACTATATACAGTAAAATTTACCTTGATGATTCTTGACAATGTAAACAGTCCTGTCGCCACCCCTACAATGCAGATATGGAATGTACATAATTAGATGCCCCCTCCCCAATTCCCTTGGGCCACTCTGCAGTCAACTCCCCTCTGTTTTGCCTTTTCCAAACTGTCATCTGGATGGAATCATACAGTATGTGGCTTTTTGTGTCTGTCTCCTTTTATCCAGCATCACGTTTTATTTGGAAGTTTTGTACAAAACTGAGCTTTAATATCTTCCCTAATACTTTATACTATAGTTTCTCATTCTAATATATATTATGAAAAAATGTATTATGAAATTTTCATTAAGACTTCTAAACGCCCTCCCCCCACCCCCGCAATACCCTCCAGACTACTCTGGGTAGTGGTGTGCAAATGTTTTGACTTTCTGTGGGTACCTTGCTAAGAAAGTTGGGCTGCCTTGCCCTGAGGCACACCCGCTGCTTGGAGCGGGTCATGGATGACAGAGAAAGTGAGCAAGTGGGGACAGGACCAATGGGCAAGATCCATGTCTACCAATCTCCCTCCTAGCGGGCTGCTCTGCCCCCCGACCCCGGGAGGTACGATTGTGTGCCAACCAAGAGACAAAGGGTTTTCCTATGAGTAAATGGAAGTAGTTTTGGGGCATTGGCCGTTTGCCAACTGTTTTGCCTGCTCAGAGAGCTTTTTGTCTCCTTTACAGCTACTCAGACGAATTATAGATGCTGCAGAGCCCTCCCTGGTTGGTGGCGGTCTCTGCAAGCTGCTTGTGGTCTTACTAGCCACAGCATGGACCCTGGGGGCCGAGAAAGCTGGTTTGAGTTCTATCTTGGCCCTTTCTAGCTCTGTGACCTTGGGCAAGTGTCCTGACCTTTCTTTAGCCTCAGTTTTCTGCTCCGTAAAAAGGGGTTAGTATTCGTGCCAAACTCACTGGATGTCGTGGGGATTCATGAGCTAAAGTAGGTGGCATAGTGCTTGGCACAGAGGGAGTACCGCACTGATGGTCACTGGCATCACAGTGACCTTCCAGACAGTGAAAGAGAGAATCAGGATCAACATGGGAGGTCTGACTGAGTCAGAACAAGGAGTAGGGGCTCTGGAAACAGATGACCTGACTGCCACGTATCTGTCTGTGCCACTGAGCCAGGTCCTTCTCTGTTTCCCCCTCTGGAAATGAACGGGCACGACCAGATTTGCCCTCCAAGATCGCTCCCAAGGGTCTGGGAAGTGGTTCTCAAATTTTAGAGTGCCCCTGAATCACCTGGATAAATTATTAAAACAGATTGCTGGGCCCCACCTCCAAAGTTTCTGATTCAGTAGGTCTGGAGTAGGGCCCAAGAATTTGCATTTTTAATAAGTTCTTTAGTGATGCTGATGCTGTTGGTGCAAGGACCGTAAGGACCACGCTTTTAGAACCACTGGTTTGGGCAACTGTAGATCCAAGACTGGCAGCTGAGCCGGGCGTCTGTCCAATCTCAGAGGCCCGGGGCCAGTGAGTGGCTGGTCAAAGGGTCCAAGAGGAGCCCAACCTTGATAGGGCCTGGGAGACTTTGCTCTCCCAGCTCTTCCTTCTCCCCAGAGCAGTGCTGTGACAGTTGCATCAGGCCCCTGGAGGAGGTGCTCCTGGATGGAAATAACTGGTAATGAGGCCCCTTGGGCAAATGGAGAGGCTGGAGCCTGAGCCAGAGGACTCAGGGGCTGTGAGTTGCATGTAGGGCTGGGACCCAGAGCTGGAGCTGCAGCTGCTTACCCACCTGTGGTTACTTCTAACGAACGCAAGAAGCCTACGTTCATTGTCGAAATTTGGAAAAACAGAACAAGAGAAATAAACCACCAGTGTTAACATTTTGAGATAGCGTCTTCTGGTTAAAAAGAAAAAAAAAAAATTAAACCTTTTATTTCTTAAGTTGGGCAGTGGCCCTATTAGTGTCTAGTTTATGATACATCTTTAAACTGAACATCTGCACTGCTGTGGGCTCAACTGCGTCCCCCACAAGTTCATATGCTGAAGTCTGAACCCCCAGGACCTCAGAACATGACCTTATTTGGAAATAGGGTCATTGTACATGTAATTAGCTAAGATGAGATCATATTGGAGTAGGGTGGGCCCCCGATCTGGTGTAACCGGTGTCCTTATAAAAAGGGGGAATTCGGACTCAGACACA